CTCATTGGCTTTAACCTGAGCTTTTGGCCCTCGTACCTCACCTGCTTATCACCTAATGTGGAATGAGACAAAGCTCCACAAAAAGCAGCAAGTGAACTTTAGGTTAGTATTTATTTATTGATATGCAGTGATGGAATGTAACTAAGAACATTTACTCAGGCACTGTACTTGAGTACAAATTTGACGTACTTGTTCTCTACCTGGGTATTTTCTTGTCATGCCACTTTCTACTTTTACTCCACTACATTTCAGAGGGAAATATTGAGATAGATTTTTGCATTAAAAAAAACATAAGAGTTTATAAAATGTGATGTTTTGTTATAAATTAACAGCTGAAACAATTAGGCAATTAATCAATTAGATAAATAAACATTTTAAGTCATTTTCTCATTTATTTCATTTTATTTGAGAGGGACGATGCAATTTAACATAGTTCCATAGGGACTGATGTGTTGCAGAGAAAGTTAATAGCTAATGTTAATTTTCAACTCTTGCCCCAGTTGGGCTTTGACATGTTAATGTTGTTATAAAATATACAGTTTAAAACATCATACAATGACAATAAAAAGAAAAAATAAATTAGTGTTTATATAGTGTATTATTATTATTATTATTATTATTATTATTATTTTTGTATTTTGTTTTTCAAATAATTGTACGTAATGACCTTTACATAACCTTTTTAAGGCAGAACCTTTACTTATTTTTAACAGTATTTTCACAATGTTTTAATACGTTTACTTAAGTAAAAGAACTGAATACTTTCTCCACCACTGTTGACATGTATTTGCACGATGGCACATCAAACAATTGTTGTAATTTTCTCAAGAAAAAATAGTTCTTATGACAGCTATTATTTATGTTTTTGTTTTCATTTGTTGTGTATTGTGTTTTATCAGCAGCCAGAGGATTTACAAAGGGCCATAAGTAGTACTTTACTTCCTATTTTTACAATTACATATGACAACAAAATCAAGCCTCATTAAAGGAACTGTTTGCTTTGTTGAGAAAACTTTACTTTAATTCCCCCTATTTATCATTCATAATCATTATATAACCATTAAATAAATGGCTTATACACTGTCATTGTGTTGTGAGCAGATATAAGGGCATAAGTGTGTATTAATGTACAGAATTTGTCAACAATTCTATTTTTTCATAATACATGTTTTATATTATTACAACAAGTTTTATTTATTACAAGTTTTACTATATTGTTATTGATCTCTTTTACAGCAGCCATCACTTTACAGGTGTCCAAAGGAGGAGTTCTAGTTAACAGATACATTCATCAACACTTAGATGTGCTTATAAATATTTTATAGTGCACTATAAACCATTTGTTACATCTTTATATACTGCTTCTAAATGCAAAAGAGGGGGACTTAAAGTAAAGTGTTACCACTTTGGTTGTTTGTCCACTGTTGATGACATTCATTCATTTCTGTAACCACTTATCAAGTTAGGGATTGCTTATCAATTTAGAGCTGGAGCCTATCCCAGCTGACATTAGTCAAGAGGCAGGGTACACCCTGAACAGGTTGCCAGACTATCACAGGGCTTTAACATAAAGACAGACAACCATTCACACTCACACTCTCACCTACGGCCAATTTAGAGTCACCAACTGACCTGCATGTCTTTGGACTTTGGGAGGAAGCTGGAGTACCCACAAAAAACCCACACTGACATGGGAAAACATGCAAGCTCTGCACAGAAGGGCTCGCTCACCCCAGGAATCTTCTTGCTGTGAGGCAACAATGCTAACCACTACACCACTGTGCCACCTGCTTATAACAGAGGCTTCCAAACACCCAACATAATGTGGACTATTTTTATACTGACAGCACTATTGTAGATTGGCCTAAAATAAGGATTATGTAGGATACCTGTTTAAAATAACTCAGGGAGTGATGAGGAAAGATGTCACTGTGACGGACTGCACCAAGATTAAGGTAACTGCTGCATAGATACCCTAAGACTTGTATTGTTATTATTGATCTTGTTTTATGACCTCAATGAAATAGTTTCCTTGTAGCATGGAAGCAAAATATACCAGTCTGTGGCCCAGGGTTTGGAGCCAGTGGTTTAATGCAGGGGTCTTATTCAGGCCAAGGACTGCTTGACTAAAAAAGATATGGAGCAGGGACCCCCTATTAGATTTATAAAATTGAGTTGCATATAAAACTGGGCCTACAACAACGTGTAAGGCAGCCACAATGTATAAACATACTTTCATACTGTGTATACTATACTTAGTTACTATTAATAAATTAATAACTATTTATACCTCATGGATCTGTTTGACAAGGATTTGTGATTAATAGTTAGCCTATCATCAGTGTTGTCATGTGTAAATTAAATGGATTGGGGTTTTTTGGGCAGATGTATCTTTGCTAACGAGATGTTGGATTCATGTTAATGTGTTTTTTCAGACATATTTTCATTTCTGAAGGAAAAAACATTTTATCATAGCATTTCATAACAACTAATCAAGATATATGGAAGTTTTTAATGTTTGATGCATGAATGAAAGCTGAAAAAAAGTTTTGACTTCAGATAGCTATGTTGCAACACATAGAAGGGGGTTACACACTAGTGTTGTCATGATATTGGAGTTTCTAATTACGATACAATATCTTGAAAAATATTGCTATTTAGTACCATTTGTGATACCACAGGGAAAAATTACATTGAGGGCATAAAATTATAGTTGTTGTTTGTCTGACAACTGCATTTGAATTGAGCCCCTGTCCTTCCATCTACAACTTCCCTTGTGGCAGCCGCACAAAAATTGAGCGCCCTGCAGAGCAGCATCATGTTTCCCTCATCTGCCTTCATGGGCAGTCAGGTCATGATAGTGTTTGCCCTAAGCCTCGGCATCGTTTGTCACTTTTGTGAAATTTAACAACTATTAAAACATTTCCATACAGCCAGTCTAATTTAGGTGATAATCTACCATCAAGTTTGACAACAAGTAAAATAGTCTGGCATAAAACCACACTGTCTCCCACCAACTCTCAGCCAAAACTCAATTTGATATAATGTTTGCGTGCCTCTCCAATAAGTCCTCTAAACAAAAATGACATGCAGTTTGAAGCTGCGGTGCCTTAAGAGCTGTATGTGTCTGTTTTCTGGGACTCTTGATGTCAGGAGGAGAACAAATTGAGAAAACAAAAGCAAAGGAGTTGAGAATAATCAGAGAGGAGAGGAGAGGAGAGGAGAGGAGAGGGCCTGATTGTTTCAACTGAACATGGGTAAATTGTTGGTTTGTTATTTTGTTTATTCAAAGAACAGCATTTTTTTAATGTTGTGTAAAGATTTGTTGATTCAAGGTTATTTACTCTATTCTGTTACAAATAAATGATAAATTGTAGCAGCTGCAAGGTGTTTATGGTGTAGATATTTAGACACCTTATATGTAAGTTAGACAGACATTTCTCTGCTCATTACTGTGCACAACTGTACTGTATGTATACTTAGGCCTCAAGGTGCTGGTAAATAGAAACCTCCCAGCAGGGTGCACTTTGCATGCGCAATTTTTTTGTCTTTTCACCAGCACTTCTTGAGAAAAAAAAAAGATGAGCACCTGCCCTGTGCATGGCACCGTCAATACTGCAGAAAATGGGGCGTCGGTGGCGTAATGGATAGTGCCGGCGCCCCATGTATAGAGGCGATGCCTCGCTGCAGCGGTCGTGGGTTCGACTCTTGCTTGCAACCCTTTGCTGCATGTCAACCCCCTCTCTCTCTCTCTCGCCCCATTTCAGTCTGTCCTGTTCATTAAAGGCAAAAAGCCCAAAAAAAAAAAAACTGCAGAAAATGAGTACTGAAACCGTTTCAAATACTCAATAATAAATAGGTAGTCAATATGTATCGATAAATCAATATTCTTGACATTATACACACATACATTCTGTTCAAAGGTTGATTATACTGACAGAATAGGACTGAAGAACAGTTTTACATTCCTACAGTAAGAGAAACATGCCATACTCCTGTTTTGACTAGATCATCTAGCGGCTGGAGTTACATTAGTTGTTACACTTTACATATGAAACTGTGCTACTGACTAAAACTAACCAAGAGGTTAAATGTTTAAATGTATCTTACCTGAATCAGATAGTAGGCTATTAAAGAAACAGTTACCCCAAAATTAAAAAATACATATTTTTCCTCGTACCTGTAGTGCTATTTACTAATCTTATTTTTGAGTTGCCGAGTGTGAGAGATATTGGCTGTAGAGATGTCTGCCTTCTCTTCAATATAGTGGAAGTGGATGGCACGGTAAATAATTACATTTGTATTATACTATTAGATGTGTCTTTGAAATCTATAGAAGTGTTCCCTGGCTCCTGTGTACATGTTCAGCAACACTTGTGGTATGAACTGATGACCCTGATGAAGTCCACAAGCTGACACGCGTCAGTCAATAAAGTTGTTTTTCATACCACAAGTGTTGCTGGAGCTCTTTTGACATTTTCCAGTGTCTTCTCACTCTCCATGCACCTTGTGAATCAGTGAAGTTGTGCCAGAAACCACTTTCTACTCCTGTGTACATGTTGCCATGTGGTGAATCTGTGAAGTAAGGGTTAGTTGAACATACTCACAACAGTTGGTGCGTAGAAACAGCACAAGATTCCACTGTCCTTAAGTCCAAGTGTGTGTTCTGATCGGACATTAATGATGATAATGTTGTAAGCTGGTGAAAGCCTGACATGTTGTGTGTAGGATGACTTTAATCAGCGATTCCTAATTGTCAGTTGTGGTTTCCAGCATACTACAGAAAGGTTTTTTTTCTTTAGGTCTTCATTTTCAGAATGGTGTCTGTTATTCTATTTGGTGACAGTTTGCACCTCTATGTTTTTGCGCGTGTGGATCTGATTACATGAATGGGAGCTAGTGGAGCTTATGGAGCTAGTGCCTGCACTCTGAGCTGACAGACATTTATCTTAATCTACTGCTTTGAATTTAGAACTACTTAAATAATCAATCAAAACCAATTCTCCAAAAACATTTTATGTTTATTTCCTTTATTTCACTATAGAGTGCTCTGGCCCATTTCCAGCAATACATGCACAGAGCTCAGTTATCATTTTCCACCAGCCTCTACCTGTACCTGAGCGTACTGCATGTGAGGGGTTCTAATCCTCATTTATGAACAGTATGTCTCAACAGAATGTATCTCAGCCACCAGAGCTGAGCAGGTGGAAGGACTGTGGCAACGTCTTGTCATCAAGCTATTATGTGCATTAAAACAGTAGAAATGTTGTAGGGGAAGAAACATTTCAGTGTGACGCAAGCTTTATTTTTTCATGACTGTGTGATACAGTCTGCTGCTGTGTGGGCTGTCCCACTCACACCGAGACTCACAGGCTCACTTCACACAGTAAGATAACACAATATCGTCATCATCATCCTCACTCTGGCTGATTCATTTAACAGTTTCATAAAAGCAGTCTGATGTGTGAGTGTGTTAAAAGTAAAAAAGTATGCTGAGGTCTCTGAAGAAAAGATGTTTCTAAAAGATGCATTTCAAGTATGTCTGGGGAAAAAAACTCAAGGTCCACTTGCACCCTTTCTTCGGGGTTTTCAACCAAATTCAGTGATTTGTATCAGCCGATGAACATCTCTCAGTATGAGGGAACTACCAACCGAGTACCGACCAACCAAACAAAGTTAGTAAGTGGTTCTTTAGTCTAAATACTTTTTCCAAAGCTGAAAACAAACTTTGATGCTGAAAATGGTGTGTTTTTGTAATATGACCAGATCATTTATATAATAAACTTTCTGGGGTAATCCACATTTCTCAAGAATCTTCTGAAGTGTTTTTAATGTGTTTTACTCTCAGTGGCAGTGATGTCATTTTTATTCTGTTGGTCAGTTAACCAATCATATGAATAATTTCTAACCTACTAATTAAAAAGGTTCCCACACATTTTCATGGACAAAATTCAAAACTTTTCCATGACTTTTCAAGGACACATAATAAAAAATGTCTTGCCCAATTTGCCTGGCATTTTTCAAACATGTCAGATTCAAACAGAATTTCAGTTAGCTGGCATACATAGAGGGAGAGAGGGAACACTGGGAGAAAATAAAGAAACCTATCTGATGGTAAACAAAACGTCACATCGACGATTATAAGAGCTATGTTATGTCAACGGTTTCAGAAAGAAATTTTCCATTATGTAAGATCATGTGGAAGGTTATCCATGGAAGATTAACAATTTTATTACACACACCAAACTTCCATGACTTTTGCAAAACTTAAAAGTAAATTTTACTGCTGTCTTGACTTTTGCGGGCCTGGATAATGTGATCGTGAAATTCTTTAACTTTTCCAGATTTTCCATGACCATTTGAACCCAGACTTAAACACTACAGACTAGGCAAATATGTCAGTACAGTCAGACAGCTGTGAAGTTTATATTTTTGAGGCAGAGTTAGGCCCTGATCACAGAGAAAGTGTTTTGCAGGTTGCAAAATGCAAGGCGCACCACACTGCTTTTTTTTTTTTTTCCTAATTGAATGCCACTGGTTAAAAAAAGCTTGTTGCGCCTTTTTTTCGTTGCCAGGCAACCTCCCCATCACCTCCTCACTCTAACCCTCCTGTGTAATCAGTCTACCATATATTATTATTATTTTTTAAATCTATTTATTTCACAGTAATCAGTATCTAGTTCCTAAAATGGACAGGCAGAGGGTACTTGCTGTAGCTCTGGCTGAGGGTGAGAGGCTGTCGGCAAATAGTCTATTGGGCACAGGGAAACAGAGATCTATGTGGGCACGAGACCCTAAAAAAAGGGCTGGATCATGGGGAGTACCACCAGTTGGTCCAGGAGCTTCGCCTCCATGCTGGATGTTTCCAGGCATATTTTAGGATGATTCAGGGGCAGTTTGTAAAGTTGTATAGCTCTGGATATCCAGCAACCGCTACTACCAGTTTCTCCTCCATTGTTTACAAACTGTAAACTTGTTGACGTGACAACCACAGAAGGCCCACCTCTCAAATCATCTGATTGGACAATGGGAAAAAAGCGGAAATGACATGTGGCACTTTTCCACTCTGAGTTGAAGTTTTTTTTCAACTCAAGGAGTTCAGAGCGCTCCGACAAAAACGCCAGGAGCTTAGAGCGCAGAAACGCGAGGCGTGTAGCAACACAAAAAACAGCAAGCAAAAAGCTTCATTCTCATTAAAAACATTTACAAAATGATGTGTCCAGCTGCTAAACACTTTCTATGTGATAAGGGCCTCAGAACCTTTGGTGGAAATTGCTTTGTGGTCCTTTGAGCCACTATGTTTTTCTTTCATCATAGCATGTTCAAATTGTTCTGATAGCATGAGCGTTGATTTGTAGAGAAATTAAACAATTCTCCTTGATTTAGGCTCTGTTGTTTTCAGCCAATTCATCTTGGTTTACAGTGTCTTGTGATGCCACAACAGAGAGATGGATGCGCCAAAGTCAGAAATTGTCAAATCCTACATATAGTGGCAATAAGTCTCAAACTGGAAATTCCCCCCTCTGGATTATTAAAAAAAAACAGAAACCCAGCCTGAGTCATGATTTCATGCAGACACCTCTGGCGTTATTCAGTGTTGTAAATACAGGAGTACATTTTTACCAAAGTAAAAAAAAAAAAAAAAAAACTTTCTGATGCATCACTCAAGTGAAGCCTTCACAAAACTGTCATTAGTCAGGGAGGTTAGTGACAAACTGTCAATCATACTGCAAAGAGCAATAACTGTTTGAAGTAATTCATGTTTTAGACTGCAGTTTGAAGTTAGATTAATAAGTGTTACATATTGTAAGCAGTGGTCAATGACTGGTTAGTTTGCTTGGTGGTAGATGACACACCCAGCCAGTGCTTTACACTTGAACACCCAAGTCACTGGCAAAAACACCAGCCAGGAGCGACCCCAATGTCCTGCAGTCAAACAGACGTACTCTGGGTACTGTACAGGTTAATGTGTGGACGTGTACAGTTTCACCAGAAACTATGTCAGAAGCAGTGGAACTGTAGTTGAAGGCAGAGCTCTGATATGTTTCTGGAAGCAGTGTGGCTTCACTCCCCCTTGAAGTGGGGACGCCTCTTCTCCTTGAATGCAGCCAAACCCTCCAATCGATCTTTAGTTGGTATCACCTTAAAAACAACACAGATGTGTCAGCACTATCAATGATGCAGCTCTTTATCTGAAGCCTGTCTTTATTAACCAGTTTCCAGAGGAAGACCCTGAACTCTGATGTGCTTCTAATATTTTGTCCACTCATTTTACATTGATGAGGGTGGAGTAAACATAAAAACACCTCTCAGTATAATATAATAAAATTCAGTGCCAGTACAAATTGAATCAACAGCTCTCTGAAAGAGTTTGAACAAAAGCTGAACATCAGAACCTTAAAGCGAGGATCTGGAGGATTTTCAAACAAAACAAAATATAGACATATACAAATGAAATCCTGCTTAATCATCACCTATGGGCTTCTACTCATGTGTGGTGGTGACTCTGTTTGCAGAGCTCCTGCCCTTTAACTTTATTTTGATGTTTTTGTGAGCTCGGACCGCTTCTGGGCGGAGATTTCCCCAGCCAATAAGAGAGCACAGGTGCCGTGCCCGTGCGTGTTCTAGCGCGAGCCTTTCCTGAACCTCTTCTGTGAAGCCTTCTTCCGTACTTCCGGGCTCCGTACACCCGGGAGAGTTGAGCCTAATAGGAGGGGCCAAATTTGAATGTGTGTTTACTTTTGGTTCTAAATTTACTATCCCAAAAGTTTTTGGTGGAAATGGTCTTTAGTCACTTGGCTCTGTTATTCACACGCACAGCTTTTCCTACCACAACTAGATTTTGGTTAGGTTTTGCTTTTGTTGTTATTTCTTTAGTCTATTAGGTATTTTATGTATCCTGTATTCTGACAGTCAATTGTATATTAAATATTGGAATGATGTTCAAGTTAACTTGTAAATGTATGTTTTAATGTTATTGTGGGGGGTGTCTATGGGCCCTTGACAATTTAATGGTGTTAGTAGGGGCCAGATGTATATATACTGGGTGTAAGAGCAGTGGGGAGTGTTGGAGAGACAAGGGTCAGGTTGAGCGTTACCTCTGCTGCTGGAATCTGCTGTTCCTGAAAAGACTGTCTCTGTTATCCACCAGTCTGCTGAATGTCTGGTGAGGAATTGTGGAATCTTTTTGTAACCTTGCTTATGGACTCAAGTAAAAAATATCAGAGCTCTGGAAAATCCCTGCTTGTCTGGTGCTGATCATTCCTTGCACATGTTTTACACCTCAATACCGCTGGTTCTCATCCTGATTATAGGGGTTCACCACCATCAAAACCTTACAACACCACTTAAAGCTCAACCTTGACAAGACTGAGCTGCGGTTCCATCCATGGAAAGCAACTCCCATCCATGACCTCCACATTACCATTAATAACTTTGTAGGTGTGACACTGGATGACCAGCTAGTCACCACATCTGCTTAAGTTGATATACTTGCAAAATACTTGAAATTCTTGGGTTGTAGCTACATGGTTGAATGTACTTATTTTGAGTTGCTTTGGATTAAAGCATCAGCTAAATACATTTAATGTAAATGGTGTAGCCCCAAGGCTAACAGCAGGGGCAACCATCGGAGGGTCAGAATAACTTGAAATTTCCTTGCTCTTCCTATTAGGCAAACATGACATGAATGCAGCACAGGTATTAGCTAGGCTGACCTAATAACCTGCCAATTAAATGAATAATTCAAACAGCACAGTACATAAGATATAAAATTCAACAGTTTCATTACTTACCTGGGCATAGCATGCTTCTTCTATTGCCAGACCTGTTGATAAATCCACCTGAAAGACAATGTGGCATCTCTTCGTGAATGTTCACATGACAGCTGAAAATGTCAAGAATTTAATTTTCTTTGCTGCATTTTATTGTTTCTTTGCTACACAACATGATGGATATCCAACCTGAAACCACCCAATTTAAAGCTCTAATACAACATACAAGTCTTACAATATTACTTGAGTTTTGGTTTAAACTACAAAATAAAAGCAAAGGTGAGATAGAAAATTTCAGGACTCTCTGACCCAGACTTTTTTTCCCAATTAATGTTTTAATCCTGTGAACGAGGTAAGCAGTTCTGACTGCAATAAATAGGTGAATCTCGTCATCTCAGTTGGACTTCATCAAAATCTATAAGGACTAGAGGTGTTTCATTTTTCCTGTGGGGTGGGCCAACAGTGTTGTTGGGGGGAGTGGTCTGAGTGTCTGCAGGAGAAGGTGGGAGTAACATGGTACATCTGTAGGTAAAGGTAGGGGAGGTCAAAACTTCTGTAGCATTTACTGCATTTTCCAGAGTCTTCATTTTAACAACAGAGCTTCAATGTGCAAAACTGTTCATGCAAAGAGCCAACTCCCTCCCCAAGTTCTTACTTTTAAAAACAAAAGGCTATACATTACTACTGGCTGATAGTAATGCACAAAAATATCGGCACAGCATTGGTATCAGCCAATATTGGCTTTAAAATGAAATATTGAAATTAGCCAACATGCCAATTTCTGCCTATATGTGAAACCGATTTCTTTTCAATTGAGAAAGTCAACATGTACAAAAAAAAAATCTGATAAATGATACAAGACAGGTAGTAAAACATCATATCTTAAAGATATAGAAAGATGTATGTTATTTAGAAATGCATATAAATCAGACAATGAAATAACTGTACAACACAATGCAAACACAAATACATGGTCTCAAAGCGAGGTATTACAAAAGTAGGCCAACATATATGAAAATATATATAAAATAAAGATAAACAGGGGTACAAGTGTACAGATAAAGAGGCATATTCAGTCAGAGGATCCAGGGAGGAAAGTTGCATAATATATGAATATACTGATATTGGTATCAGTTATTGACCAAATGAGTTGTTATATATGGTTAAAAAAATCCAAAATCGTGCGTCCCTACTAACTGCAAAGCTGATAACCACATGTTCAACTCACTAAATACAGCACAGTGTACACTTGCTATACTAGATGGTAAATGGCCTTGCAATACAAGTGTATTGCGCCTTTCTAGTCATCCGACCACCCAAAGCGCTTTTTAAACTAGGAGTCACATTCATCCACTCACACTGAGGCTACCATACAGGAGCTGAGGCTACCATGCAGGGTGCCACCTGCTACTCAGTTTTAACACACTCACACACCGATGGAACAGCCATCTGCTCAAGGATGCTTCGACATGCAGGCTGGAGCTGGGGATTGAACCCCTGATCTTCTGAAAGTTGGACAACTCGCTCTACCTCTGAGCTACAGCCACCCCATACTGATCACAAAATGTGTTCAACCTGTGCTTGTAACGTGGTCTTTTGAGTGCAATACATATCCCTATGATTTCGCTGACTGTGATACATTACAGGAAGATACTGCTGATGTGACTTTTTTTTTTGTTTTGTACAGCAAGTGTAGGGCGGAGTCATCTTTTCTCTAATATGAAAGGAAAGAGTAATAGTGGTCTGAGGCAATCTGAGTCCTCCACGGGGTCAGGTACCTGTGGGTCCCTGACGGGTAACCCGCATAAGCAGTGTAATGGGTAAAAATATAAATTTGCACGTACAGACAGGCAGTGGGTTAGAACAAAAATATATTTTTCTATTTTTCAGAATAAAACAAATTAAAAGATGTGCAATATGTGTGTACTATTTTGACATCTAAATCACTATTATCAAGCTGCAATTCACTTTATTTTGAAAGTAAATGACACAAGTTGAGGACTCCAGCAATAAAACTTTGCAGCCCAAGGATGAGGTGGCCGCAAGGATCCTTCTGAAGTTTTATGGTGGTGGAAGGAGCATGCTAAAATGACTGCTAACCTGGTAGTGATTAAATATTTTTGCTATCCCAGCATCGAGCGCAGCCAGTGAAAGTGACTTTTCCTCTGCTGGATTTGTACTTCATCATGAATGGAGAACTCAACTTATTGTGAGTGACTGTAGCCTGTGCGCGTTTAATCACGGGGCTTCAGTTGAGCTCAGACCGGCCAGTTCACACCACTGCAATGCCACAAATCAGTGGTCTGAACTGGGCTTGAGAGGCATCCGTATGAGCAGGCAACCATCCATCAGGTCATGGATGAGGCATGTGATGACATCATCACCCAGCAATGCCAGAGGTGGAGGAGACGCTCCAAAAGATTCAAAAATTTTTTAAGAGTTTTGCAAAATTAAACACTGAACTGATCCAAAACAGATGTAAAACACAGAAAAAACAGTCCTGCCCTGACCTCTAACACTTACCTCTATCCCCTGATTGATCGCCAGTTTTGCCATCCTTACTGCAATTGGACCCTGTGGAGCCAAAAATCAAAGAGTGACTGCCTTTTTAGAGGTTACAAGGTTTCATAAATTACTGTGTGTGATATAAATTTATCTTGTTGATCGTTTTAAATAAGTTCAATATCATAATGCAATCATTCAATGTCTAAAATGAATAAAAGCTGTTTTCAGTCATGACATTCATTATCAAAACACCATTTTGTTTTTCCCTCAGGGTACTGCTCCCTTAAAATACTTCACCTGCTAAATGACTATTTCCAGTGGTCGAATTGAGGGGGGATGCCATCCCCTTTGTTAGAAAATTGACCAAAAAGCATCCCCCTTGTTAATCTAGAATCTGTGTGTGCAGGCACGGACGTAATTTAAGGGGGGGGCACAGGGGACATGTCCCCCCGCACTTCCTGTATCTGTGCCCTCCGTCCCCTGCACTTTTTACAGCTGTTACCACCATTCAATTTGTTTTTAACATGTGGTAACTTGTTTTTCTGAGCTGTCTTTAAACGCTCCATGAGTAGGCGGCACCAGGCGGCATACACATGTTGTCATGTTGTGATCTGAATCAATCGCACACAGACCAGAAGTGTGCTGCTGGGCAGTGCCTCTGTGTTAACTATGTTCAGCAAACCAGCCAGCAAGAAGCAAAAAACTTTGCAGTTTCTTCCAAACAAACCGTGTAAGTTGAGTAATGCTGTTGCATGTAGATAATGTTAGCTAAATGATGACTAATTAATAGATGCCAATATATCAAGTTAAGATAGTTAACAAGAATACTAATGTTATTGTTACCTATCTTAAATCGTTTGCTAGCTATTTTCATGTTAGGAATAAACCCACTCCTCCTAAATAAGAATTTGTGCTCACTATTGCTTTGCACATATTTTTTTAATCTTTATTGCCACAATATAAAGAGCAGGGTCAGGGAGGAGACAGTGGACCAGAGGCCAGCAAGGATGATCATGCAGGGTTCTCATAGGTGAGGAGAGATTATAACTGGCTGAGAGAAAATATCTAGAGCACAAAATTGACTGTGCGATTAATTTCCACGGCTATGTCACCACTACTATCCTTAATTCTATTTCTAAATGTTGCTTTGCACATTTATTATCTATATCATTGCAATAGACAGAAGAGGGACAGGGAGAAACCAGGCAGGTATCAGGACAGGAACCTGACAGCAGCACCAATTATCAGCCCAAGGCTTCACCGGTAAGGAGAAATTATAACTGGCTAAGGAAATGTCTATAGGATAAGAGTGACTCTAAGATTAATTTTCACAGCTATTTCAGAACTACTCTTATTTATACTCTAAAATGTGTTTTTGTCTGTATTGCAATAGCAATACTACTGCATTATTTGATTTTTTAAAGGCAGCAGGTATAGGTCATGCCATTTTTCTTTATCTTGATTAATTTTGCACATCTGTGCTGTCATATTTGATGATGTGTGCACGCAAAAAATCAAAGCTACATTGCATCCCCCTTGTTAAAAATTAACAATTCGACCACTGACTATTTGTATATCAGTTACTCACTTAATTTGTAAAGAAAAAAGTTTTTTTATCTGCTTGTATGCTCAGTACTTCCAAAACACATGCATTTTTGTTTAAATGTTACAATATAAAAATCTTCCACTTATGGGTAGCACGCCCTGAGTATGCCTGAGCACACGCCTGCATGAGCTCTGCTTGAGCAGAGTTCAAACACAGGCATGTGCATAGGCACAGTACTTGGCCGTGCATCCATCCATCCATCAATCAATCAATCAATCAATCAATCAATCAATCAATTTTATTTATAAAGCCCAATATCACAAATCACAATTTGCCTCAGAGGGCTTTACAGCATACGACATCCCTCTGTCCTTTGGACCCTCAAAGCAGAGTGCATGAGACTGTATTGATGTGTTTTAAATCGTAATGCTCCAGTGAAAAATGTATGTGTTTGGGAATGGTGAATGGTAAATGAGTGGAGGAGCTGAGGATCGAACCACCTATCTTTCAATCAATGGATGACTGGCTCTACCTCCTGAGCCACCACCGCCTCTAAACGCTGCTTTGCCTCTACCAAAGTACTGAGCATACGACTGGATAAATGAGAGACTTGGATTATACTGCAAACTAAAGGCAATACAGGATAAGTAACTGTTACAAAAATGATCACTGTGCAGGTGAAGTATTCCTTTAATTAAGAGGTCTGTTCATCAGTGAAATGGTTTTGTTACCTGAGGGTTGATCTCGCGGGCGAGCTCCAGAGCTCGCAGGTAGGCAGCATCTCCACTCTTATTCTGCTCCACAGAATGACTGACAAGACCCAGGCGACACGCCTCTGTTCCATCCACCACTCGCGCAGCAAAGATGAGCTCCTTTGCATGAGAGACACCAATCACCCTGGGCAGACGCTGTGTACCACCTGCACAGAAGTGATGAGAAACCAGGATGGAACATGGCCTCGACCACAGACACTGAACAGGCTGTCCCAAATTAACTGCTGTAAAAACTGCCTTTAACAACTTACAAAAATAATGTATATTATGATTGTTCAGGTTTTTTCCTAAACCATCTGGTGTCCTCACAGCCTGCTAGCAAATGTTTTGAGGCCTGGTGCCAGTCTGCAGCCCAGGGGTTGAGAACCACTGGCCTGGGGTTATATAAATGAAATATAATGAAAATAGCTGTGTGCACAACTTCAAAAATCTAAGATAATATAAAAGAGGTGCATCATACTGGCAAAGATCGAAGAACATATAGAACACCTACACTCATAGCAGAATTCACTTATTTAATATGGGCAAAAACATATAAACACAGATGCGTTCTTTAGCTGAGATGCATCCATGTCTATATGTTTTTGCCCATATTATTGTGAATTCTACTATGAATGCCGGTGTTCTGTTTTTGTTTGTTTTTTTCAATGAAAATACGACAAACAGGAGTTCCTGTATGTTTGTTAATCAGACTAGCTGCTGGCAGGCAAGTTTTTTCAAAACCTTTCATAATCTGACTGTATTTTAAATAATCTCCTCAACTTGTGGCAGTCCCTTGAAGTGGAGATGTGTGTAGATAATATGAAGATTTTCACTGGAAATGAAGAAATGAAAAGAATACAGCCTTACCTGCTCCGGGAATAATAGCTAGTTTGGTCTCAACTAGTCCCATTTTGGCAGTGTCAGCTAGAGAGATCAATGAACAGTATTACTACTTTCACAGAAATACTTACACTAATTCAAATATTATGCGGTACAATAAACAAAATAATTATTGGATTAATTATTGAACATTCAAAGTTAGTAGTAACATCGCTACTCAGTGACAGAGAAACACAACTACTATAAAAATATTTAAAGGAGCTATATGTAAGAAATATAAAGCAAATAGTCATAAAATCCTCCTAATATGTCACAGAGACTAAGGAATAATGTTCATATAACATACTGATCTCACCGACAACAATAGTACAGCCAGAATATTCGCATTTAAAAAAAATTTTTTACGGTCCGCAAATCATGTTTATGTTTTGGCCTGTTGCGCCACCCACTGCCATCTACCAGTCACGCAGTCTCAGCATCAGTTAAAGTTAGGACTACAGCTACAGCTACAGCAGCACGGCAAGCAGCATTAACAGTGTCCCAGTATGTAGCATTAGCAGCCGGCTCCTCATGAGCTGTATCCCGGCAGCAGCGTTAGCAGCAGAGAAGCTGGACTTGCTCGAATGGTCCGCTGGAAAACCGAAGATCAAGGACGCGGCGACGCGGCCCTGCCACGGCAGCCGTCCGTGGGCAAACAAATCAGTCTCCAGCGTGCCGCTGTCCAGCAACCTCGAATCTGTAGGGGAGGTGGGGCGGACACGACTCGCGGCAGTATTTTGAATGAGTGCAGTAACCGTTTTGGCCACATTCTTACATACAGCGCCTTTAAAAACATTAAGTTTACTTTCTACAAGGGTACATTTTAGTTGGACTAGAGGATCAAAAAAGTTTGTGTATCCTCTTTGTTTACTTCCTGCATCAGTAATGCCATTTCTAAGCACACTTTGTAAGGCTTTCACAACACAAAAATAATTAATCAACAGTCAGACACAATCTGTAATGCATCTGGAAATACAAGTTGTAACAGTGGCAAGTTTAGCAACAAATAACCGACACAAACACAAGAATCATTTGCAAACTGATCAGGCGGTGCCAGGCTGGAGGAACTTACAGGCAATTCTGATGTCACAAGCAAGAGCCATTTCCAGGCCTCCTCCTAAGGCAGCTCCATCAATGGCAGCAATGGTCGGTACCGGCAGGTTACCTGTAAATGAAATGACAACAAGGTACCCATCAAGAGACACTATATGTATTAAAAATGTACACATTAAAACCAACTACATCAGACTACAACTACTTTATTACAAATCCAACTGTACTGGTGGAAAATAAATTTCCTTCACTTCTGACAGAGCCACACAATAAGATTCCCTGAGTCCAGGCTATGCTGCTATTTTTATTCAGAAAAGAATGAACTGGAGAAAGTATTAAATTACCCACAGACATATTGTGAACCTAACTATGGTTTCATCAAGGCATAGTTGTGTCACTATGAATATTCCATCAAAATATTCCCCAAAACCATCTACAAGTGAACCTAACATTACACATTAGACTCATGTTTCCTGGTTATTAATCCATCCAAAACCCTAAAATCCCAACATTATTAACTGTGAGGTGTCCCCAGCTTTTGCCAGGTGAGGAGATTAAAAGTGCCTGCCTGCTATAGATGCCTGGTTCACACTACACAACTTTAGTCCTGATTGTTACTATCAGTTTTTGGAGCTCCCCGACAAAAGTTATCAGCCTAATTACTTACTCAGAATGCTGCTTTGTCACTCTTTGACTTAAACATTTCTTAGTAAGCACCCCAGACCCTGCACTGTGGTTTGACCTGCGCATCATATAACATACTCATGGGGGATTTGTCCCGATGACAGATCTTGTAGTGTGTGACCCGCTATCACCTGTCAGTCATGTAGTGTGATAACCACAACTTCAACACTTCTCATTACAAGAGACAGAAAGTTGTGTAGACTAAAAAGTGCAGCCATATGATGACTTTGAAAGTTAAATATCTTTCATTATTATGAAAAAAGAAAATGAGGCATGAATGTGGGTACTAAGTGACCATAACCAGCACAGTAGACATCACAGTCTACTGTGATGTCGTCTACTGCGTTGAATACATACAATGAATCTACAATGAATTCCTTAACAGTCAGTGAATTTCATCACTGTTTACAGTCTTGTACCCAGCTCTGTGATGAGCGCTCTTGCTTTGGACACAAACGGGCCCACTTCACTCTGGTGCATCTTGGCCCTCTCCTTCAGGTCTGCACCTGCACAAAGAGACAGAGCATCAGCATCAAGCCAGAGGCCTGTGGCTTCCTGAAACATGAAGCAGAAGAGTGCAGTGTGGTCCATCACTCTGAACTTCAGTATCTAGGATTCTGAATGTAAAGCTGAATGCAGAATTCTCTCAACTAGATCCAAACCTGCCCAGCATTCCACCATCAAGATCTCATTATGAAATTTTACTTACAAAATAATGCATAAAGATTAGGTTGGCAAAAAGTCTACACCTGATGAACAAAGAGTGAAATGGAAAGACTTTACAAACTGTCAAAAATCCCTCCAGTGCACTTAACACCAGTTTACCTGCACAGAAGATCCCAGGAACCAAACTGCATATGATAACACTGCGCACTTTGTTATTCTTCTTGATATCCTCCACAGCCTCAAACATCTGAAACACAATTTTTATGTTTGTTTTTTCAAAAAGTAAATAGAATAAAATGTTCTCAAAATGGATCATGATTTTAGTGTAAAACTCATTTTGTATTTATAAACAATATTAATAAACTGCAGCATATTTCAAGAAAAACTCAAAAACTATACAAGACATCACAAAAAACTAAACCTGAGCCAGGTAAGAGGAACGTCAGTGATTTTTAAAGATCTACTGAAATAGCCACACAAATGTCTCTGATTAATCCCCATGCACATAAGCCTACATGCAGCCCAGAGAAGCACAATTCCAGCTTGACCTGTGTTAACACTGGCTTAGTCATCTTTACAATGTAAAAATAAATACGGTCACCAAATAAGGTCAACAGCAGTACATACCATTTTGACCAGATTTTTGCTGATGGCATTTTTTGCTTTTGGTCGATTTATCCCAACAACAACAATACCTGAAAGACAAAGTTACATTATGCTGATTAATGATGGCGCACAGGTAACAAGGACATTACTGCAGAACAGCAGGTTTCACATCTCATGACGTGATGATGTCACACCTGGAAAAAAAACATCTTCAACCAAGATCACATTAGGGATGCACGATATTGGATTTTTCTGCCGATATCTGATATGTCAATATATAAAAACTCATTTGGTTGATAACCAACACCAATATCAATATATCCACTTTTTTCCCTACATTATTTGAGTGATCATCAAGTCTCTTCTGTAGTGGAATTGACATAATATTATGCATGCATATGATGGCCCACCAGCAGATGAAGACATGAAATACATTGCTTTTCAATGTATGTAATATTCATTCATAGTGCAAAATAAGAAAAAGCATGTTGGCTGATTCTGATAGTTCATTTTAAAGCTGATATTGGCTGATACCAATGACATGCCAATATTATTGTGCATCCCTAGTCAAAACAGCTACCATAGTACGGTCAATCAAATACAGACTTGATGTTGGACAGCATCACATACATATATCCAATCATCACTGCAAATCTGTGTATGACAAAAATACCAAATAAAATGACAAAATTATTCATTTTTGAGAGTTTTTATAATCTATTTGTGGTTTTTACACTTTCTGTAAAATGAACATATCATTTTGTAATAGACTGCTACTATTTCTCAAAAGAAAAAAAAAGAAACATTTATGGAGATGGGTGTGCCCTCTCCAGGGCATATCAGCTGACAGCATTTGTAGTTTAATGTGTGGTCTTGGACCACAAACGTGTTTCTGAGGTGGCAAGTTGAATCACTAGCAAGGGCCTGCTCTCTGCTCTAGAAATAGCAGATTTTGAAGCTGGGAATAGAAAGGACAATTACATTGCATATCTGTCTGACTAAATGTAAGCATTTTTGCATACACTCGTCATACTGTTTTATGCCTCCACCTTGGAGACAGATCGTTTAAAACTACCTCCATGGAGAGATACTACTACTGTTATAGGTTTGTTTATGTCGTAGGGGTCGGCTTTTGATATCACGTAACGGGTGACGTCAAGGCGTACACTCTAATTTTTATTTGCACCAGAACAGCGGACTGTATCTTTAAATCCTGTTTTAATGGTCAGTGTCCTGTTTGAACGGGACTTTGATTTGGACAAATACAGTGTTACCATGGACAAACGTGTCTTTGAATGGACAAAGACTGAGAGCAGGACTTACCGGCGTCCTCTCCGTCCAGGTGTCTGACGCGGAGGTCCTCCTTGGAGTCCGAGCTGTAGTGTCGTGTCACTGCTCCGTGACCGTTCAGGAGAGAGGAAGACGAGAGTTTACCGGAGAGAGCATAGTGTCTGGAGCAGGACCAGGCTGCTGCCAGCCTGCACGCGCTGTCTCGGCCCGATGCCTGCACTCGGAGGGCTTGCAGCAGGGCTCTGTGTCCCACTTGGACCGCCATGCTGGGGAGTCGCAGTGTTGCTTGACTTTCAACTTTGAACCCAATCACGTGTTGTTATCACGTGATGTACTTGCAGTCTGTTGTAATGGCGTTGGGAGACATTTGACAAATAGTATTGTATAAATTTAAGCCTTTGATCGAAAATTGTTATTTTGGATGTGAAAACTATAGAAAATAAAACAGTGTTTTCTGCAATGTTTGGTTTTAATTAAGTAAAAGGCTGACTGAAAAGCAGACTTTTTTTTTTTAATTTTTATAGTTAAATATTTGTAACTACAAATATTTTCCCTTTAGCCTCTCTAGGTGACTGGCAGAAATTACTTCATCTACCATAAATTAGTTAAAAGTTTTTCAAAACTTGCATTTTGATGTTTGAAAGTTAAAGGTTAAAAGTGGAAGATGGAACCCTGAAGTTGCCATGGTTTTTCACTCTTGTTGTGCATTTTAGTTTGTACAAATGGTTTGCCAAATTTTAAATGAGTTATAGAATTAAGTGATTTTGATGAAATATCACTATTTTAAGCCCAAATATGGTTCAATTTTTTTCTGAGGGAAGTGTTTGTTGCACGTGTCCAAGGATCATTGGAAGTTTGCAAATCCAATGATAATTTCTGTTTTTACAGTTTCTGGCAATGATAAATGGTGTTTTTTGGTGATTTTAAAAAAAAAGGCAGAAATTTGCATACCCTTCCACTAAGCCAAAATAAAAACATAAGTCCCTCCTCAGTGCTTATAAAGTTTGACATTTGAAATCTGAAATTTCTAACATGCCCCCTTTTTGCACCCACCCCATAACCTCCCTCATAAGTAACAAACAGTCCCTAAAATTACCATGATGTGCTGTTTGGATTCCATAATTTTCATAGATCTTAAATAAAGAAATGACATCTTGTAGTCTTAGTCCTGCAAGAAAAATGTCATATGCTCAAATGCATTTTTTTTAATGTAGCCTACAGAGCACCAACTACAACTTTATTTAGAATGTTTCTAAAGTACAAGACATTTATCACAGAAGGAAAAGCAAATGTGGAACTAAACACATTAAAGATGGCTGCTTGATTTAAGTGTTTACAATCTTCACTTCTCATGTCTCTTTCAGCTGTTTTAAACAAATGGGAAATATCTGAACAGAAGTCGGACTTGGACTTAGGTCAGACCAGTGGTGTAGTGGTAGTTGATGAGGTGGGTGTACTACTAGGTAGATAGGTAGGTTACCGATGAGGAAGTGGGCATACTCTCCTATTACAATGGCTGTTTTGCTGATAGGTGGGTATACTGTCACTGGATAGAAAAAAAAGTGGGTATACTCCATATACCTGAATATACCCTCCAATACACCACTGGGTCAGACTGAAAATAAGAACTTGAGACCCACGGCTGGCTGTTGTGAGATCATACTTACCTGAGACTCTCCTGCCTGACAACATCATCAGATTTTTTAAACTTTCAAATATTAATATTACTATCAGCCTTGAAATCATGGTATCTGTCAGGCTATACATTTAACCATCAACATCTATTTTTGGGGAAAGCAATGTTTCTGTAGTTATTTTGTACTGTTTTTGTTTTTTATGTCTTTTTGTAGAAATAACTTGTAGTTACCTAATCTAAAAAAAGAGAAACAAATTAAACACACAGAAATAAAACATACAGTACAATATGGTTCAGTGACAAGATATTTATTATAAACAAAAACTCACCATTACAATAAAACTTGAGAAAAGTGTTCAGATACAGGTAGCTGCTGGGCAAATGGAGTTATCACCACCATCATTATCATCATCATCATCACTGAGATATTCCAAACCATGACAACAAATGCACACACCATTCTTTAAGAATGAACTAGGCAGTGCACCTGAATATCAACAAGGGTTGGCTGAAGTCAGCAGTTTGAAACTGACTCCAGGTCAGGTCAGGGAGTGTGATGATAAACACCCCAAATGTCTATAAGAAATTAACAAATAAGCCATTTGATGAAACCCTTAAAGTTCTGAATTCCATGACAGTTAATAATACAATTACAAGAACTGTACGGGCATAATGCTGAATCTCTGGAGACTTTTTCAAAATACAATTGCTGATTTTCCATAAATTGCTAACATTTGAGGATAGATTGTGTCAAAATATACATCGGAGGGCTTTATAAAATCCAGTTACACTCTTGTCAGTTCCATCAGATGAAAAGTCGGTGTCAGGCACATTCTCAGTTTAACCAGTGGCCTGGAAGGTTTAAAGAATCAACAAAAATCCACTAAAAACAAGAGAAGCAATGGCTATTTGGTAAACAGTGAACCAGTGCAGCAGAGCCTATTCAAAAGTTTAGCTAAACTTGTTTAAAGCCAAATGTGTAACTATATGCAATGTAAACCAACCACAGAGATGATATTGGTGAAGTGTGTTGCTGTAATGCAGTGACATTATCATTGAATGCAACATGTCCAAGAGTACAGTATCATTACTGAAAAGATGAAGGTAAGCAGCATTTACATCAGCCAGGACAAGAGAGAACAGAAATGCTTTATTTTACAGGTCTTAGAAAGTGGGGATGCAAAATATTGGATTTTTTTCCCGATACCTGATATGCCAATATGTAACAACTTATTTGGCTGTTAACCGATGCTGATACATTCACTTTTTTCACCAGCTAATTTTAGTGATCATAAAGTCTCTTCTGTAGTGGAATTAACATTATATTATGCATGCATACTCTTGTCGTGATGGCCCACCATAGATGAAGACATGAAGTAGAATGCTTTGCAATGTATTTAATACTCATTTATTGTGCAAAATAAGAAAAAGCAAGTTGGCCGAGTCTAATAGTTCACCCCAATTAGAAAGGTTCTTTTCAATATTTCAATTAGAAGTATGTCATTAGATATTAATTATGGGGAAAAAATTAATGATTGTCAATTCCTCCCATAATTTGTACCAAATTAAAACCATCTTTCCAGGAAATGTCTAAAAAAAAAGTCTCCGAAATTACAAATCTATAAAATAAAGCAGTACAGAACATTCCTCTGAAGCAGAGGTATGGACCGTGTCTCCACTGTAAACCTGTCACCACACCAACACACACATGGTTGCAATAACCATACTACATTAGTTAAAAACAGACTACAGCTTTAAAGCAAAAAATAGCCAGACTGCAAACCTTTGGCAACATCTGCCAAAGTGCCCCCAGCCCAACAGGTAAATAAAGTGGCAGCTGTTCTGATAACTGGGGCTTTTTGCTGCTCCACTAAATCAAAGCATGTAAGTGTTCAGTGACAGTAGGTGTATACTGCAGGGCAGAAACCAGCGACAGCAGTCATGAATAATTTGGTATAAGAAAAAAAAATAAAAGCTCCACACAAAACAATATCTTAAACAATAATGATGTCCATCCCACATCACTGATTACCACTTTACTGTAATTTCCCAAATAGTGCCTGGAAATCCGTTGTTTCTAATTCCCCATTTTTTTTTATAACTACATATAATCGTTTTATTGAAAAATGTTGTTTTCTGATCTGCTCCTGTTTTATTTTGCTGTTGATGCATGTTTAGCTGTTGAACATGGAGGCACATAACACTGGACTTTATACTGATTACATTCAGTACATTAATAGTTGTAACATTTAGTGTAACATTTCAGCACTAACTTGATCAGTTAAAGAGAATTGTATCACATCACTCTGCTGCTCACTGAGTTGCCAACAGATTTTTTTGCATCTAAAGCCTTTGGACCAGCAATATTCACCTTACGGCCTGCAGGCCATATCAGGCCCCTGATAGGGCAAAGAGTGAACATTTTTTCACAGGACAAATAAATTAATTCACATTAAGATTTCTTTCTTTAGGAAACATACATTAAGCTGTTTTCATACCACCACAGAACAACCGCTCTCACAACTGCATACCCCTCATAGTGGCTGCTGTCACTATGGTCAAGGACTGTGATAACGGGCAGGTGCTTCTGTGACTGTTGGGAAGTAAAAGCTAGATGGCGCCGTGTAAAAAACTGCATACTGCAGCAAGACAACAGAAATCACTGAAATTAACAAAGATTTCTACATATTGCCCCAAGGGAGTGCCCCAAGGGTCCATTCTCGGGCCTATCCTCTTTTCCATCTATTTACTCCCCTTAGGGGCTATTATTAGGAAATGCTATATCTCATTTCACTTTTATGCTGACGATAGCCAAATCTACATGCCCCTGAAAGCCAGTGACCAGAGTTGCTTAGAGCCCTTGTTAAAAAGTCTTATTGACATTAAAGCGTGGTTGGCCCGTAACTTTCTAAATTTTAATGAAAGCAAGACAGAGGTTATAATGTTATAATGTGATCCACTAGTACCTCTAAAGCCCCTCTTGACCTGGTTTCTCTTGCTCGGTATCTTAAACCTACTGTGACAAATCTTGGGGTCAAAATTGACTACAGTCTTAAAATAGATCAGCAGATATATTCTGTTGTAAAATCCAGCTTTTTCCAGTTAAGGATCATATCAAAGGTTATGCCCCTCCTTTCTTTCAATGATTTTGAGAGGGTTATCAATGCTTTTGTCTCCACAAGACTTGACTATTGAAATGCCCTCCTTGTTGGTGTCTCTCAGACTTCCCTTTCACGACTCCAATTAGTTCAGAATGCGGCTGCTCGACTTTTAACTGGAGCACGCAGGCGAGAGCACATTTCCCTGATATTACAGTCCCCACCTGGCTTCCTGTATCTTTTAGGATTAATTTTAAGATCTTATTGTTTACTTTTAAGGCTCTTAATGGGTTGGCCCCCTCTTACTTGTCTAGTCTCCTGCACCCCTGTGTTTCCTCTCGAGCATTGAGGTTTGCTGACAGATCGCTCCTGGCTGTCTCGAAAACACAGCTAAAGCAGAGGGGTGACAGAGCCGTTGCTGTTGTGGTCCCCAAACTTTGGAACGAGCTGCCCCTCCAGATTAGACTCGAACCTACTATGCCTGTTTTTAAGTCTCATTTAAAAACCCATTTGTTTTCTCAGGCCTTCTCAGTCTCTGTGTGAATGCGGGTTGCTTTGTGGACTGAATTTTGTGTTCTTAATTCGTGTTAACAAACTTTTTGTGTTTTGTATTTTTGTCATGCTTATTTTTTGTACAGCACTTTGGTCAACACTGTTATTTATAAATGTGCTATATAAATAAATTTGTATTGTATTGTATATTTGGACAATTTAGCAGTCATCTGAAGTTTGGTGAACATGTTATTGCTTGGCTTGTAAGTTGCAAGTACTATGTTGTACAATGGGTATTCAGATACCAACATTATCAGTGTGTGTATATATATATATATATATATATATATATATATATATCATCACATTTGTCACCATCATGGAGGACTCAGGCGATAAAACTTGGCAGCCCAAGGATGAGGTGGCAGCCCACATCAAGTTCAAGACATCCATGGAGGATCCTTTTGAGGTTTTCTGGTTGTGAAAGGAGTATGCTAAAATGTTTCCTAACCTGGCAATGATTGTGCAGAATGTTTCTGCCATCCTGGCATCGAGCTTTGACTTAGACATAATGACGGGTAACGGGTGGGTTCTGGTACTGAGCTTTACGGGTATGGGCGAAGGCGGTGAGCTGCTACAGGCGGTTTGAAAGCAGCTTTAAATGCTTGAGTGCTAACAAAGCATCAAAACAGAGCTTGTATAACAAAAAAAATTGCCAGGTAGGTTCCCCTGGAACCCCTGACAGAGGTCCGGGCTAAGCCCCGATTGTTGTCAATTCCTAGAGGCGCCCTTGCATACATGTGCAGGGCTGCTGACTGATCCCAGACTTCCTGTTATTTTTCAAAAGTGGCCCCCAGGGAAAGCAAATTGAGTATCCCTGCTTTATATACTCATATTCCCAACTGTTAATAGTAGATTTAATGTAAAAAATGCAGGAAGTGTTTAGTTTCATTGACTGTAAGTTGCTGCGCCAGAGTAAAAGCAAATGAAATTAAATAGCTAATGGAAACAGTATTTGTGTTAATGAGGAGAAACTCTGAGGAGCAGAGTGATGAGTATGACACTACTCTGTTGTTATACTGATGAAATAAGTGCTGTGACATTGTACATTACACTGAATGTACCATGTAAACTGTTACAGTAGAGGTAATTTCACCCTCCTCAGTGTTTTTAATCCGTCTATATTAGCGGACAGCCTTTGTTCATGCTCCAATAGCTATTATTAAGACACCTTTTATTTGAAAATTTACAGTAATCAAAACGTTGTTTAACCCCAACCACACAGTGCAACAGCAAATACAGTGGAAATGCAAAAAAATACAAAAGGTCATGCAGAGGAACATCCTTCTGAAAATGACTTGTGATGATCAATGGTGCTTTGGGTTGACTCTATCACAGACCCTTGCTGTGCTGTGATCAGTCTTTTCAGAGAGGCCATGTTTGCGGACAGATCAGCAGGGCTCTGTTTTAGATAGATGTCCTCAGCATCTGAGTGTGCATAGGAACGTTCTTGTACACCAACAAAGGTTTGATTTGAGATGGGGCTCGTGGTTAGCCTGCTACTTTGGCAGCCACTCTGCAGTGTCCCTGTGCTGCTTTTATGCCATGGCTCAGACTGGTGGGTCCAGTCTTGCATGTTGTTGACCTGTAATGACAGAGGGCACAGTGAGGACTGAGTGAACTCTGAAGAGTCCTGAGTGGTCTGGTAGCATCCTCCTTCTGAAACTCTGACAGGAGAGGAGGACTTTCCAGAAGGCTCATATTCAGGGTCGATGGCCTCCACTTTGATTTGAATGGTTCTGGCTTTGATCCGCAGTTTGTGGGGCAAAGCTGAAGAACTGGCATCTGGCACTTTGTGTGTGGAGACAATGACACTTCTCAGGTCAGCTACAGATGGCATCAACCCTTTGGGGACCTGCTGCTCATCCTCACCATCTGATGATTTGCTTACAGCACCATCATCTGAGCTCCTGGGGGAGTTACTAGATGACCTGGTGAGCTGCAGGAATGAGGCAGGCTGGGAGTAGACTCCTGGCAAGGGGCTGGCCATGTAGTTTCTATAGAGTTCGTAGGGACTACTTCTCTCTTGTGCATAACTGCCACTCTCTGCTGGTTCCTGCTTAACCTCTGCAGTCCTGCAGATATCAAAGTTGCCCTGAGTAGCAGTACATGTCTCGGGTGCATGAGGTGAATGCTTGATGACTGATACGCAGCTTCTGTGCAAGTGAAGAGGCTCCAAAACCCTGCTGGAAGAACTCTGGCCAGCATTGGGTGGAGCAATCTCCTGGTAAAGGTTGATCGCATTGGAGCTGGATAACTTCTGGACTTCTTGGGCATATGCTGCCAAGCTCACCAGGCCAAACTTCAGCTTTAACGACAGCAACTCAGCCTTGAGGGAGGCATTTTCCTCTCCAAGGGCCATCAGCTTGTTCTCAAGCACCATGTCGTTTATGCGCCGCTTCTCCCTGGAGCGTTTGGCCGCCTCATTGTTTTTGCGACGCCTCTCCCAGTAAAGGGTGTCTTTCTTCTCCTCTGGGATAAACTCTCTTTTCCTGCGACAGGTAGTTTTAGCCTTGAAAGGAATTGTAGAGATTTTGTGGCCTATCACATCTCTGTTAGCCCCTTGTAAAGCCACAGCCAGGACCAGAGCATCCTCTCCACTGTAGGACTCACTGGAGTCCACCTCTTGCTTGATTGATTGCATATTATCACTGTTGGCTACTGTCAGTATGTTCACAGGTCATTAACTGTACACCATAATGCTTCAGTGCAGCGATAGGAACTGCCACATTGGATTAATCCTCTTGAGTTGAGGGAATCTGTGGAACAACAGACAATGAGAGAGGTTCTACATGTCAGTGTCAAGTTGAAACAAAGTTCAAGTTAACAGTAATCTTAAGTCATGTATTTCCATTAAAGGACAACTTCTGTATTTTTCAACCTGGGCCCTATTTCCCCATGTGTATGTGTGCGTATGATTCATGGGTACAATTTGTTCTAAAATTGGTTCAGTATTGAGGGAGGTGGATGCAACCGGAGCCACGAAACGAGCTAAAACAGTAACGGGGGCAAATACGTCCCGTATAAGTTTGCGCATTAAAAGTGCTTTTTTTCGCCACTGACCGGCTCAGATCGCCAGTGCTATGAGTGGAATCAGCTGTCAGTCAGTGTTGGAGCATATACATACATATGGACATTTAATCACTAGTTCAAAGGGAACTTAAATGTTATGAAACATGACAGAATGAGTTCTATTTTGAAGCAAGCATGGTCTCTTCATATCTTTACAGAGTTATGTAAAAATCTCTTTTTTTAGTCAAGGGTTTAAAAAACAAGATTTTTTTGAAAAGGACACATTTAACTTTAATCTGGTGCAGATCAAATGAGTGAAAATTGTTTTGTTGAGTTTCATATCCTAGAACAATGACCCAATTTCATTTTTTAAAAAGCCATGCTGGAAAATAAATGGTGCATCTTTTACTGGTGTCACTATGTTTATCTTGTTACAGATTAATTTTTACCAAATAGAAAATACTCAAAATTAATAAAATACATGTTTCTAATACAACAGAAATATTGCCAATCTCTGATCACCAGTTCAAAGTGATGTCATTGTGTACCTGAGAATCTCAGAGTGACTTTGAGGGAAAAACTCACCTCGCTCCCATCTTTTTTTGGTTCATTTCCAGATTTAAATATTTATGCAGTTATTTCCCTTTAAAAGCCATATATGAGTCAACCCCTGCTCTTGATCAATATGTGCTTTGATTATGTTTTTGTCCTGTTTGAATGTCTGTACAAAAACTCATGTGACTGATGGAGTTAATTAAGAAAGTATTCAGACATTTTCACTTTTCTGTTATGTTGCAGCCTTATCCTAAAATCTTTTTAATTCATATTTTTTCTTATTTGGCAGGATCTTAGATTTTTTTGGCAAATGTATTAAAGAGAAGAAGACCCTTTACTCAGTTCTTAGTTAAAGCACGTTTGACAGCGATTACAGTCTTGATAATATGGGTATAAAGTGACAAGCTTTGCACACCTCAAGTTGGGGATTTTCCTGTTGGAAAGTGAATCTGAACACTGCTGACCAGGTTTTCATTAAAGATATCTCTGTACTTTGCACCACTGAGCTCTCTCTCAACCCTGACCAGAATCCCAGACCTTGCCATTGAAAAACACTCCCACAGTATGATGCTGCCACCACTGTGTTTCACCACTGGGATGATACTGTGCTGGAATTAGCAGTGCCTGGTTTCCTCCAGACATGACACTAATAAGAACTGAGGCCAGACATGCAGATACCTGTTAATATTGATTGATCTTAAATAGACAGGTGTGTGCTTTTCCCAGTAATGTCGAATCAGTTGAATTTACCATAAGGAGACTTAAGATAAGATAAGATAAACTTTATTGTCCCAAACGGGAAATTTGTTTTGGGCACATAGCGTGACAGAGCTGCATAGCAGATACAACTGGAGCTGCATGATATTGGAAAAAACTGACATTGCGACTTTTTTTTTTTTTTTTGCAATATATATTGCAATATTAAAAAATACAAGAATTTTCACCAGATGACTTAAACTAAGAAAATTAAAAAATAGTGGCGGGGCTTTTACTGACCACAACTGCAGAGGCTACCAGCTTCATTTGAAACCGACTACATTATAAATGGGCCCTTATTTATTAATCCCTCTGTATCTTTATATTTTTACTTTTTATCCGCTCCCGTTGCCTTGGTAAAGTTAATGCATTGCACCGTCATTTCAAACTGCTGAGTGCTCATAGAGACGAGCGGAGCTCTCTTCAGAGCTGCTTTTCTGAAGCAAAACAAAAATTTACATGTTCTAAAAAAAAGAGAAAACATTGCATGTCCTGCAATGTGACTATCGAACAAGCACATTGCATGGCAATGTTCAAACAATATATCGTGCAGCCCTAGATACAACCATCATATACAATGAAGACACACAGTACACAACCATGTAGTACAGCAAGAACACCAATTTGAATAACATGATTGTACAATTATGACTACTGGGCAAAATAAATACATCAACTTTGTCATAACAAGTAAGGCTAAAAGAATAAAAGCTCCTTCAGGTTGCACTAGCCCAGGAGATAATAATTACAAGTGCAATAAAAACAGTAGCATAGATAGTGCAAATAACACGCAAATGAAACTGTCACAATCACAAATGAAACAGAAGTGAGAGTAAAAGCATAAAAACATACCAAAGTGTGCAACAGGTCACTAGTCACAATAGCAGCCCTGCTCCACCAGGGAAACACCACAGGGCCAGCAGAAGAAGAGAGTGGCATAACCAAAAGAACATTACAAGATTTTCTTTGGTGAGGGGGGAGTCCGGTTGTCAGGGATTCAGAGCCCAATCAACCATCAATCACACTGATGAAAAACTTTTCGTATAAAGCTGCAACATAATGTGAGAAACCTAAAAGGGTCTGTATACTTTCTGAATGCACTGTAAATGCTGTATTATAATATATGCTGACACAAAAAGTTAATTGACCGATTGACAGAAAATAAATTGGCAACTATTTTGATCATCATGTAATTCATAGCTTTTCCTTGTCTTACCTTTCAGGAAATGGAATTTAAAAAAAACTATTACAAGATGTCTTAAATGTGACAGGCAAAAATAAAAATAACAGTTGCAGCCCTAAATGTGTCAAACGTATTAGGAGTTAACAGCATCTCCACATACAAGTCGTTTCTTTTATGCTTCTTAAAGTTACAGTTAAGCACTGATCTCAGTTCAGTATTAAGTATTAGTAATTAAGTAATAATGCATTAGCCCATTACTACCTTGAAGATGATATTTACAGTTTATTGATAATCTCTCCTCCTAGGTTTAAAATAACGGTTCTGAGTGGAATGCTACTCAAAAAGGCAATTTAGCTTGTTTTGGGCTTCCAAGCTCCCATACATCCAGAGGAGAAGGAACAAAGAACTACAGACAGCTGTAATCTTAACACGTGGCCAAACAGAAGCTCAAACACAGAAACACACGTCCTGTAACCTGAAGCTTATGTAGCACACAATCAACCTAACACACTTATTCATATTTAATGTTAATTATTATGACTGCTACAGAAAGATGTTGCTTAATAGAAATAGAAATAAAGGTTAGGGGTGTGGTAACATACCAAAATATATGTCTCCTCTGACTCTGTGTCCTCATTTTGTCTTTGTAATGAATCTACATTTAGGATGTAAATGATTAAGAGAGAAACATGATTAAGAAATGACAAATAATATGCGGCTACCTTTCCTATGGAATGAAATTTTGGCTTATTGAGATTTAATATGATACCACACAAGCCCAATGTCAATTCATTCATAGTCTACAAAGCAACCTGCAATCCTGTGAAATAGTCTATGCCTAATTTTACCATTTGGGAAAAACAGCCACAGACGACTAATCTACTCTGGTGGAAAATGCATGACCCTCTCTCCACCATAAATTAGTTATTTAATTTTTTAGATTTTTTTTCCTGGAGTTGGAAAAAGCCTTGGTTTTTCACTCTTGTCATGCATGCTGGTTAGTCAGTGCATATGGTTTATGTTTGACCAAATTCTAGGCTAAATGAGAAGTGTAGAATAAAATGAGTTTGATTAAATATAACTGCAGAGTGCCCCAGGGATGACATTTTTTCTGTAGGTCAACACAAAAGTTGGCACTGCACACAAATATAGATCACTTTCATGATTATTTAAGCCTAAATGCAATCACCAAAAGTAAAAAACTAATCTTAAATTATAAACAAACTACACTACAGTTGCGTGACCTAACGTGACCACAACACTGAAAAGCCATGATCAGTGTGATGACATTCTGCAGTCCCATTTAGACACTTGTTAGCAACACATGCCTTTTTTCAGGCATCCAACCAAAAACCCATTCAAAAACCCACTGACTTCAAGATGAGAGAACCAGGAGTGCAAAAATGCTGACTCATTTCTGGTTTATAGGACTCATTTGGGGCACTCTTTTTTTTAAGCTCAGCTTTGGTCATGCTTTTATTTTTTATTTATATAAGTATTTCTCGCACATGGTGTGTTTAAGGACTGTCGTAAATCTTAAAAAATGAAATGATAAATTCTGTTTTTACAGTTTCTGGCTATGATAAATGGTGTAATTTTGGCAATTTTTAAAGAAAACATGCCGGCATGTTTTTTTTTGTTTGTTTGTTTGTTTTAAAATCTATTGTAAAATAATTACAACCTTTACATTTGTATGCCCCTTCCCTAAGCCAAAAAAATGAGTCCCTAACCAGTGCATAATGAATTACTTGGCATACCTCCCCCTTTTTGCATAGGTAACGAACAGTCCCTTACAGATGTTGAGATTTGACTCAACACCGCTGCTGAGGTTATGTAGGGATGATTACCCCCTTGTCTTTTCTAACGAGGCAACATATGACATCAAGACTAAATTTGGATCACACGTGATTAAAATGGGTGGTAATATTACCGCAACGTGAGCTTGATTTGGAGGGGGGTGGCGACGCGGGAGTTCACCGTCGGTTCAGCCGCGACAGGCCGCCGGGTGCATGTACTGAGGGAACAGCCCGGCCCGGACCGCAGCGGGCCGTCAACATGTCCTATTGTCCCAGATTCCTTCATTGTGTCCGTATAGCAACCCCACACCCCACCCTCACCCCACCCCCGGCCTCCGAATGCCAGTATATTCTACGGCTGCAGACATTATGCAATGTTTGTCTGTGTGGCAATAACAATAAGGGCCAGTATTTGTTCTGTTATGTATGTGTGTATGAGTTTAAATAACTCCAAATTATCAACCATTAATAAATTTGTGTCAGGTATTAAACGCTGTGTGTAACGTTAACAGGCTGCACTGAGACAATGTGGGCATTCACTGTGTTGACATCATTGCCTTGCTTACTCATGACACTGGCGGCTGAAGCGTGGGGTCTATCTACGCCCTAAAAAGTCAGCGCCTGTAATGTGAACATTGAGTACAGTACGGAAGACACTGTTTGGATCAATAACTCACTGACTCGTAACAGTCAGACAACAACAGCAGCCACAAGACTTTGATAACGTTGCTGCCAGCTACCTCATATTCTGGGTCACAACACCGTGTCGCAATCCGTAAAATCCTGCTAACGTTAGGCCTACAGTACGAGCCTGAGAACTGATCAATACATGCCTCATTTACCGGCCATTGTCCTGCTTGTGTCGGCTATTACTACAGTAAAGTCTAACTAATAACAGCCAACCGAGATAATACACATTACCCTCAACTTGAGCTTAGTTTCACCTTTAATGTGAACGGTAACGTGGCTATTCTAAATTTAAAGTGTGTTTGAAGCAAGAAAACACAGTGGTTAGCCAAATGACACAGAATTATAAGCTAGCTACCAGCTGCTGTGATTCTGGGACCTTTTCTACCATCCCGCAGAAATCGTCCAACACAAGAAGTAAGAATAAGGTTGCTTTAATGTTACCCTAAAAAAACGGTACCTTTTTTCCACCTGGTTGGAGGCTTTGGTCTGGCTTTTCCACTGCGTATTAGGCACAGAGAAGAAGTTTGGCTTTCCCATTGGTCAATAAGGAAATAACTGTCGATGAAATCCGACGAGTTGCGAAGTACACGGCTCTCCTCCCTTGGCTTTTTCCTCTCAAGGTGGCTACTGACTCATGGATCTGTGTTAGTAGGTCAGTGGTTAAGTGTATTGGCAGCGTGAGATTGAAAGACAGTCATCGCAGCCAATCAGAACGCAGCATTTTCCAATTTTAGCCAATGACTTCTGGCCTCAACAGAGAGCTCAAATCTCATATAAAATGTATGTCGTCATCCACAAAGCGCGTGGGGCTTTTACGTGCGTCAATTCATCACACTACATGGGTTTTCATGATTATAGGTAGCCTCATCTTACAGGTTTATCTAATGTTATTATTACTGTTAATACATCTATGTGCACCTTTCTAAATAAGGTTGCAAAGCGCTTCAAAATGGGCACTGTTTAACTTCTATACAATAATCTGGTAGTAGGTTATGATAAGTAGGCCCTATCTACAGTACAGTAATCTGACTGAAGGCTTGTATTAGTGTTGGGAAGGTTACTTTTGAAATGTCACAGGATACAGATTAGTAGTCACTCTGTTAAAAACGCACTAAGTAACCATTTTAATTACTCCATCAAAATAATCTAAGCCTACATTTAATTTGCCTACTTTTAGATTATTTTTCTAACAAATGTTTTAAACTAGGCAATGAATGCGAAAAATGTCCAGAAATAAGCTATGCCAAAAGAAGGCATTCCTGCATGGTGAAAAAGCTGCAAAGCAACAGAATGAATGTTATATTCTACATATAAGCTCTTTACCGAAGAGTATATTTTCAGATGTAACCTATTTGTGATCACCAACATTTTGATCAGTGACTGTAGTTTAATTAAGCATTATAATTTTTTGTCATTATCTGATTACAATTATATGTAGCTAGTTATCATTATTATTTATTATTAGCCTAACCTTTATTGAAACAGGGAAGACCATTGAGAGCAAGCTCTCTTTTACAAGGACACCCTGATTACAGTACATCAAAAACAATAAAAGCACACAAAAATAACACTATACATCAACAAGTTATAAAACAATTGAATAATATAAAGGTTACAATATGTATGGACAAAGACATCAGTATGGGAAAAACCATAAATTCACAGAAAAACACATGCATTCACACTGCTCCAAGTAAGATTTTTTTGATTGATTAAAATGAATTATTTTATCTAATTTTATAAGCTTCTGCAGATTATTCCACTTGTGTGGTGCATACTGTTTAAGAGCCAGTTTCCCGGTCTCAGTATTAACATCATGATTTTCTGAACAACAAAACAATAATTAACAATAGTCTTGGGACCTAGTGTAGTGTGAAATTGTTCTGTGAACAAAGACGACAGCATAGGAAAAACATCAATTCACAGAAAAAAACATGCATTCACACAGTTACACACAGCTCATGGTTACATGTAACTAGTTACTCCCCAACTCTGCTTGTAATATAGTCAGATTGTTTTATATGTAGTCAGCCCAATCTAGTTATATCATTTATATCAAATATATCAAATGTTGTTGAACCACTGTGTTAAATTAGCCTACATGATGGTGCTCTACCAGCCAGAATATAAAACTATATGTGACTTATAATGAATAAACTTATACCCTATGCAACAGCTCCATATCTGTTGCTATTACTACTAACAATAACAATAAGAATAACAAGGATAGTAAAAGGTATTATTGAAGTATTGTTAAATGAAGCTGTAAATACAATTCTTGGCAAGATACCACAATTAAACCACCAGGAACTGCACAACCTTCATAATGTTGTACAAATATGAAGTGGTGGAGGACACTTTCAGAGCCTTCATCAATCCAAATTAGCAATAGCCTACCACAGTGTAGAAATATTTCATTATAAGTGAAAGTTCTATTCAAAATTTTACTCATGATAATGTCCATAATTATTATAAGCAAAATATATTATAGCTTGAAATTTCAGATTTATATGAATTTGGATACAATATGGCAATACAAAAATAAATAAATAAAGAAATATGCAAGTGGAAAAGTAGAATGTAATTTCTTTACAGAAAAATAAAATAACTGCAAAGGCATTACTGTGCTCAATAAAAGAAAATTAGGAAAATAATAATTTACAGAAGTTACACTTAGATCCATTGCAAAATACTCTGCATACTAGAATAATAAAAAATATCAATTTTTATTTATTTTTATTATTTATCTATTTATCTATGTGTGCATGTGTGCAACCCAGATGGAGCAATACGAGTGTCTTGGGGTCCCGTTACTATCAAGAACTGTAGTGTTTCAGCACTGTTTGTTGTTCATACTGCCAAAGAGCTCTAGGGGTCACTGTTGGATAACTGGTGTAAATTTGAATGGCGTTTGTACCTGGAGGTTCAGAGTTAAGATGGCTGCTACACATGAGTCCCTGCTCAAATATGTGTTCCTGTGAGGTTCACATACTTGTTTGAATGTAAGCGCAGTTTGTGAGGCCGTCCATTGTATCACTGCTCCTGCAATGACCTACTCACATGGGACATTAAAGGAGCTCTTATAGAAGTATTAACAGTGGACTGAACCCTGTTCATGATCGTTTTCCCCCTTATACGTTTCCAACCATATCAGGAAAACAAAACAACAGAGAGAAAAAACACTATAATACTACAGGACAAATACTACATAATTGTCCTAACACTTCACTGCAGCTTCATATAAATCATTCAAACTCATAAAATATCATGTTGCCTATTTAGTGGTTGCACCCTGCAGTCAAATGGAAAAAATAGTACACATTTCACATGTTGACTTAGAAAAACATTCAGAAAAACCTAAAGCTTGCCTCACTTCTAACATTATGGCATTTTAGTGTTTTTATTCCATCTTGTTTTACTCTCAGCTGTTCTTGTTTTAAATTATTCATCCACTTGGAGGTTAAATTGTTGTATTTAGTCTTAAGGTTTTATTGTTTTACTAATTTGGCTTATTACTCCGTGATTAGTTTTTATTGCCATTTCTATCTTAGTTTCTAATTTGTGTTCTTTGTGCCTATGATCTTTTGTTTATTTGTTTCCATTGGCTATATTGTGAATGAAGGTCTCTATCTCAATGTATTTTTGAGTTGAAAAAAAAATAAATAAATAACTGAATGAATTTTACCACAATGCTGTTTCATGCAGGCCTATGTGGTATTTTGGTAAATTTAGTACCTCCACAAAATGTGTGTCTGAGCAGCACTGCATTAGGCATACATTACATATGGTTGTAATAACTGTCTGATTGGAAGGTACTGGTGGGTTGGTTATGCTTTGGTTGGGCCAGGCTGTGTACTGTGAGGAACTGTTGACCTACACTGTAAACCCAAATGACCATGACGCAAAATTTTAATGTAAAGTCTACACAATTACCCTGGATTGTCAAAATGACATCAAAATCATATGTTCACTTGACATAAAAATCCGTCCCTTGTTAGCTTGACATCATTTATTTATGATAAGTCAACAATTTTTGAGTTTTCAGTTAATTTGACTAAAATGTATTGAGCCAATTTCACCTAATTAGTTTAAGGCCAATAAACAACACTATCACTGTACACTTACATATTGTGATGTGCTGGGGCTAAATGGGTGGAGTTTCCCAGCATGTCGTGAGACAAAGTGTTTAAGATCATAAGCCGAAGAAAAATGTGTTTAAATATGTTTTAAATCACTCATGCAACCCATTACAAAGTGATTAATGTTTATGAATTTCACAATGGTTCCAACAGGTTACAGTTAATGTTGTGGTAAAAGACATTTTGCACCATGAGTTGAGTGACCTGCCTGTATAAGGCAATAGAATTTTGTCAAAAATAATGGAGCTGAGGGTGGGACTAATAAGACTACTTCCAGAGTAATTGACCCTGATTGTTAAACTTGGGTTTTCTGAAATACATCATCTTAGTTTAAATGAACATAAATAGAGAAGATGTCATTTGTATACACAATATTTTTATGTTCATTTGACATAGAATTAAATGCTTAAACAACAATGAAAAACTAATGCTAATCTGACATAAGATTCCTGACAGGCAAGAGTCATGTAACAAATTTATTTTGTGTCTGGCATACTCAGAACTTTTATGTTACTGTATTGTGCTAAACTAAAAGTTGTGTGTGCAAGCTGTTTCCACAAAAAAAAGAAAAGAAAAAATAAAGTTCTGTGAGTGAATTGGGGTTTCCAGGGCAAAATGTAAACATTAGCCCCATTAACACTGCAGAAGCTTTTATTAATTAGGCTACCCGGAAATTTGAAAAACCTCGGCACGTTTCCACCCAAATTACCCAGGTAAAAAACTTTCCCTCAACGCCAAATTTACCCTGTAAAATGTACCTAGTAGGGGGGGTTAGGACTTTTCAGATTACCCAGAATTCTTGAGGGGCGGGGCTGTGTGCCAAAGAACGCTTATCAGTGGAACACACATGCAGCGTACCGCATTTCCTGATACGGGCAGCCGCTGAAAACTTTATAGAGTGCCGAAGTCACGCCCCTTCCGGCGAAGCTCATGGGACCTTAAATTGGAAAAAAAATGAATGGCAGTGAATGAGGAGAGAAATATTATCTTTTGGTCCCGTTTGAGTTGTGACATGAACTCCAAATATGTCGTTAACAAATTTAAAACATAAATTATGTTTTAAATTCATTAACGACATATTCATATATTTTCTGATCTAAGGTCCCATGAGCTTCACCGGAAGGGGCGTGACTTCGGCACTCTATTTCATTTCTACAAGCTTCACTTTGTTTGTGTTTGGGTACAGAATCCCGGGCAAAATTATTAAAGACCATAGCCTAGTACTGATAAGAGCTAACGGTATCGGTTCTTTTGTATTGACGCTGATCTCCCCTACACACACACTGATGTGACACGGTAATCGGTGAACAGCCGAGCGGCCGTGGTGGAAACAAATTGAAGAGAACTTGAAAATGACTCGAGTTGACGGCAGCTACACTTGTTACTGAAAGTGACATTAAATCTTAGGGGGTAAGAAGCCAATAATTTATCAATAGCTACATGTGTTCAGCAAGCATTAACATGTAAACATGTAC